TTCTCAGCAATGACTGGAAGCATCACATCTTAACCACCCTTCAACATGGGTTGGGGATAGGAGTTTGGCTTGTTTACTGTATATCCGGTAAAAACACACACTTGTTAGCTTCTACTACTGTTTGTTTTCTATGTTTTGTCCTAATGGTGGTTCTTGTAGAGCTCAGTGTTTTCTGAGGCGGTGCTCATTATGAAACGTTTTATGAACACATCATAGTGTTGTATCAAATGTGAGGACTTGCAGCAGCTCAGAGGTGAGACATTTGTTGTGTCTGAAAGTGTGATGGATTGATCAGACTGTATTCTTTGTAGCTAAAGTTGATGAACGGGTGGTAAACTTCAAAATGGTATTAACATCAAATTAAGACAAACAGCTGCAACCATGAGCGTATTCTTCACTTTCTGCTCATTGCCGAAGTGAGAAGTCTTTGTTGCGCCTACAGGAGGAATTATTCAGTCACCTCATGTGACACAGATGCTGCCCTGACTTTTGTTATTGTTGCACATGCTGAAGTTGCACTGTGGCTCTGTCGTGTGATGAACCGCAGCAGGGATGAGCTGCATCGGGACAGAGCCACTCATCATTTTGGGGAGGGGGTCGATGAATGACCCAGGAGACGGGATCCAGCCTGGACCGCACGCTGTGTCATCAGTCACCAGGCTGCGTAGGATGAAGCCGAGGATGAGCAGAGGTGTGATTTAAGGCTAGCCTTCCTCATATTATCTCCACTCGTGCCGTTGCTCATGCTGAAGCCTCCTGTAGCTGAAGAGGTGGAACAAGAAAGGGGGTGAAGAATGAGATGAGGCATCCAACACCACTGGGGGGCATGCTGCTGTGGTACGACAGTAATTAAAATCAGCCACCAACTCTCAGTGAATTCTTGTCTTGTCAGACGTATCGACAACTTTGCACCAGTTCCAGCTTGATGAACGTAAAGCATTTGATTGTAAACTTTCCCTTCACCCTTATCCTTAACCTCGTGTATTACATGCTTTAAAGTTCTTACAGCTGTGGTCGAGTCAATAAATGACCATCTCAGGACGGAATCATTTCTCTGCACGTTTGCATCAGGGAACTATGAGGTGTCTGTGTCGAAGGGCCCACACACAAACAAAGCAAGCTCTTTCTGTAACTGTGTGTATGTGCAGTTCAGTCAGATGTTCAGGCTGGATTTTGTGAGGCAGCGAGCCGTGCACAGACACTCAACCTCCCACCTACAGAGAGCAGAGGGATGGATGGGGAATTCACTGGAGCCGACAGGTACCCATCTCTAATTCAACGTGATTTATTTCCACGGTGAGCTTGAACGTGGCCAGTGTGCATGGGCAGGTCAACTTTGGTTGGAAGAAAAGTAAGAGCTCCCTGATTGATAGAGAGGAGGGTAGCTGTGTTTTTTATGTTTGGCTCCCTCTTCATCCGGGCCCCTGCTCTGGCTGATTAATCACCAAGCTGAGAGTCTGACAGGCGTTGTGTGAGACTTCATATGTGACCCAAGATGGCTTCTTCTTGGACATGCGGTCCATTTTGACCTCAGTGGGTCTTGTTGCAAAATTAATTTTAGACTGAATTAAAACCAAGAAAGTCTTGCTTTAACCACTAGAGGGCCACATTAGCACACATCATTAAACCATTGGAGTGTGTGTGTGTGTGTGTGTGTGTGTGTGTCCTTGTTTATGCTACTTTGTGAGGCCCATTTTTCCAACTTATACTGCATTGTGAGGACCAACTGCTCCTTATGGGGCCCAAAGCCCGGGCCCCATAAGAAGAAGTCCCGTTGGTGGGTTAGGGGCTAGGTTTAGGACTAAGGTGTGAATTGAGGATGTGTTAGGTTTAGGGTTAGGTATGTACTGGTAATGGTTAGGTTATGAATAAAGGTCATGGTTAGGCTATAGACATGAATGAAAAATGAATGGAAGTCAATGCAAAGGCCCAATAAAGATAGCAAAACAAACCTGTGTGTGTGTGCGTGTGTGTGCGCGCGCGTGTGTGTGTGCGTGCGCGCGTGCGTGCGCGCGTGCGTGTGTGTGTGTGTGTGTGTGTATAAATATATTAAAGGCCTTACCCCTATTAGGCCTTTTTGTCTTTTTCTCTTTATGAGCATGTGGATCCCAGTCTGATGGAGAATCATAACTCAAACATCTTAATAGATGTTGGCTTGTCATTTATGAAAACCACTCAAGCCAAGTGTCACTTATTTTACTTTTTTTACATTTGTCTGTCTGTCTGTCTGTCTGTCTGTCTGTCTGTCTAATCATATTTATAAACAATTACAGCAGTTTTGTATTGCATGGTTATTTTGGTGGAAATCCTGTAGATTTAATTCAATTCAGTTTATTTATATAGCACCAAGTCACAACAGAAGTCGTCTCAGGACACTGAACAGAAACATTCATGTATAAAATAATAATTTAACACTATTTATCTGAGGAGCAGACTGCTTTGAGTTTAACTCCATCACAGACTCTCATCTTGAGCAAGCATGAAGGTGACAGTGGAAAGGAAAAAAAACCCTGATGAGGAAAAAACCTTTAGCAGAACCAGGTTAAGGACAAGTGGCCATCTGCTTCGACCGGCTGGGTTTGAGAGGAACAGATACACAATGGTAGGTCAAGAATCACATGTTAAGAAGAAATAATGTCAAATGAAAACTATTCAATTGTAGTGGAATAGGCCTCCGACCAAAACCTGCCTCTGAAGACCTTCATGGGACAGGAACTGTTATTTCATTGATTTGAATCCAGAAACACAAATTAGCTCATCCAGATATCCTGATGCATGCTCAATAATCCAGGTAGAAAAATCTAAAAAAAAGTTAAATCTGGTCCTCTGGACATTCAAAAAAACAAAACAAAGCAAATCAACAAAAACATGTAGAAATGTTTCATCTCTCATCCGAGAGACTTCCTCAGTCTGAGGAGCTGTATTCAGCTCAGTCTCTTAAATAGCACCGTCTCAGAGTGGATCAACCAGTTTGCTGCTGACAACCAAAACCAGCTGATCACATGTTCAAGAAGGACCATCAGCCTAACAATGGATCATTAGCACACTGATGGCTGTTTACTGTTCACAGAGGGCTGAGTGATACTAGCAATCACAGCATTGTAAGAGGGGGACAGTTGAACCCGGAGGCCTCCACCCCTGTTTAACGATGGACGATTTCTTTTCACAAAGATGGCCTCCTTTACTCCTCTCTC